GTATTATGTCTAAAAGTATGTGTATTTGAGAAATTTAATGTGTCCTTTACCAGAGAAAGAAGCTTCATTTAGAGTCTTCTTTTGTCTGAAATCTACTTGCTTGGTCACTGTGAATGAATGTTGCACATTGTACAACCTCACATACTGAATAATCCCATAAGAGAGTGACTATTTATGAAACTGAAAGTTTGAAATCTTATTTTCATTTTAGTGTTGGGAAAAGCCAGAAGTCACAGTGAGCCAAACCTGCACCATAAGAGGAATGACAGACTTGAATAATATGTATAAGTTTCTACTAGAACCCACACAGGGCCAAAACATGTCTGTGGTATGGCTGACAAACTTGGGTGATATGAGCAAGTCTCTGCCAGAAGCCATACTGAGTCCTATCTGAATTGTGCTGTTGTTGACAGACTTGCGTAATATGTACATGTTTCTACTAGAAGTCACAGGGAGTTATCTGAACTGTGGTGAGGCTGACAAACTTTAGTGATGTACTGATTAGAAAAAATGCACAAAATGTGGATATGAAGAATAGGCAGTTAAGATATTCAAAATGTTTGGATCCTTTCCAATCAGTCCATGGGATTTTGAGATTTTCTGATCCATGCATTGTCAATCACAGATTTCCTTTGATTGCAATTGAAATTCATTCAACATGATTTTCTGCTTGTTAAAGGCTTTTCAGAATGTGGATCCATTTCAATGGATTCCTGGCCAAGTTTGAAATGTCAGTACTAAAATTTTATCTGGGCTTCACTCATTAAATCATCATCCAGAAGACTTCTTAACTGAATAGTTTCTGGAGAGCAATGTATATATTTCAAGGAAATTTGATGCATATTTACTGGGAATTTGATAGTCACATGATACACAAGCTAACTCAACACGGAGCTCACTGTAAACTGAGCAACTTTAAAGGACCTCCAGAATGTGAGCCCATTCAATGGATTCCTGGTCAAGTTTGAAGCATCAGTATCAAAATTTGAATCATCCCCAAAAGTTTTTAAGCATTCAAATAGTTTCCACAGGCAATTGTCAAAGTTGCAAATCTTTATTCTAGGAAGAACTGACAGATTTGGGTGATGTACCGTTTTGACAAAAACAAAACCTGCACAAAACATGAAGAATAAACGGTTAAGATATTCAAAATGGCTGGATACTTTCCAGACAGTCCATGGAATCCTCAAATTTTCTGATCCTTGCATTGCCAATTCCAGATTTCCTTTGATTGCATCCCAAAATTCATTCAATATTTTCTACTTGTTAAAGGCCTTCTAGAATGTAGATAACTTTTCAATGGAGTTTGAAGTATCTGTACTAAAATTTTATCTCAGCTTCACTCATTAAATCGTCACCCAGAAGACTTATTTGAATAATTTCCATATTTTGAGAAAAATTTGATACATATTTGCTGTGAATGCAACAGTCACACAATACATAAGCTCACTTAATGGTGCCAAACTGCCGATTGAATAACCCCATAAGAGAATTCACATACAGGGTACAAGAGATAAATTGTTGGCTAAATTATGCAAAAAGAAAATAACACTGACAACTCATTTTAACAGATATATTTACCAAAATCGCACAAAAATATCTTGAAATACTAAGGAGTAAATTTATTCAGTAAATCGCCATTGGTTTCAACCACAGCTTCCAGATAACTTTGGAATCTCCTGAATCTCTTCTGGATGATCTCCTTGTTTAAGTTGGTAAATGCTGCCATAATCCTTGTCTTTGGTGTTACAAGGAGTTTCATTGGTCTCTTGCACATCTGCGCCCCACACATAATAATCAAGGGGGTTACAGTCTGGGGAGAATTAGGTGGTCAGGTGTAAGGGGTGATTTGGTCACAGAAATTTTCTGACAGCCATGACTGGGTTCTCCTGCTTGTATGGCATGGTGCAGAGTCCTGTTGCAAGACACAGGATTCTCCAGCAGCCACCCTCTTGACTCAGAGCAGTACTACTTCTTCAAGGCACTTGATGTAAGTCTCCATATTGAGCCTGAGGCCTTTACCAACAAATCTGGGAGTTATTTTCTTATCAAACCGAGTTTTCTGAGCTGCCATACCTTTGTAGTGACCATTAAACTTATCCAACTCTTTCTGAATCCTCAGCACTGTCTTCAGATTGACATCCGAACACTCTGAAATGTTCATATTGGAGCTTCCAGCATGAATGCCAAGCAGTTTCCACATTTCTGGTGGCAGGAATTCCTTCATGGTGCTCTTTTTCTCACAGACTGTGACAAACTGGCCCTACTATACTATGCAGGTGACAAAATCAAAAACAAATAACACCCATGTGTGAAATTAAAAATATAAAATGGCAACAATTAACTCATTGCCCTCTGTATATGTCTGTATAAATCCTTATGATTGCTTGCCAAATTATATCAAGGCCATGAAAGTCATTCTCAAGATATTCAAAATGGCTAGACACTGCATTTATTTTATTTTATTTTATTATTGAATAAATGCTTACCACCCCTTCTTATCCAAGTTTCTATTTAACCCCCCACTTTGACATTTAGAATAAATGGTTCTTCCCAACCCTCCCTGCTGTTTGTTTTTTCTTGTTTTTTTTTCTTGTTTTTGGTGTTTTTTTGTTTTTGTTTTTGGTCACGTGTTTATATTTTGTTTATTGAATATAAATTTTCCGTTCTTTCTTTACCTTTTTAGCCAGCCTTCCCCAATGATCCGCTTAGGTGAATCCTTGGTAGGTTTGTCTGGCTCTCTAGGTTTAAATAGGTCTGCTCTACTCACTGTACCAAGCACTTTATTTAGTTGTTTTGTGTACTGGTATCGGTGTTTTTATTCTTTGGGCTCTGAACTTGCATGCTAGTCGATTATTTTCATCTAACGTACATGTTCTTGGTTCTTTCTTTTTTTATACCTTTTTTTTTCCGTTTGGTATTGGTTTGATTACTTGTAAACAAAGACACCAAAGTTTTTCCAAATGAGTATAGTTTCTTATACTTATAAGATTTATATTATTAATAATATATATATATATATGTTCTACTCTGTATTGAGCACTCTTTTAAAAATAGTAATTGTTGGTTATTGGAATTTATTCCGTATACACCAATCCTATACTTGGGTATATATATATATATATATATATATATTAGGGAGGTCTATAAAAAAGTGTAAAAAGTTTTTGTAAAATGCAATTAGATCCTTTAGGACTTCATCAAACTAAAGTGATACTTACATTGATACAACTACACATGTGCATGAAGGAGAGGGTAAACAGAAAATTTTTAATTCATTTTTTTCTTTTTTAAATATATCATTGCATGAAAACTTTTCCACTTTGCCATAGATTTCTCTAAAATTGTTCTTGATATATATATATAGTTTTCTCATATATACATATATATATATATATATATATATATATATATATATATATATATATATATATATATAATATATATACACACAGTTTATCAGATTTGTTTTCATTTTCATTTTAACACTATAAAAGAGAGAAGATTGAGAATTCTGATATGTCACATCACCAGGGAAACAGTAAAACTTGATCATAGTTTACATAGATTCTGTCTTGAAGTTTTGGCTTTTACACAAAGAAAATGAGTAAGATCATGACAAAATATGTTATAGTTATTTCTTTTAGAAATTCTATTTTTCATTAGTATAAAAACGCAACTGTGCCGAGGTATAGATTATATATCCCCCCACCACCACCACCAAAAAAAGAAATAGTATGTAATATGTAAATAAAAATCTAATGATAAATATGCATATAGAAAATAAATGACTTTTTGGTGCCTGGAATGGAAGATTGGAAGGTTAATGTTTGGTAATTCAGATTAGTATTTTGAAGCATGTCTGTGTGCATTTTGAACATTATCAAGTATGACCTGTTTTAAAATACCACATGTAGTGATAATTTTCATTTTGAATTATAGTAAAAAAAGAAGAGAAAAATATAATTAATATAAATTGAAGGCATTTAATACACACATATTTATATATATATATATATATATATATATATATATATATGTGTGTGTGTGTGTGTGTGTGTGTATAAATATAAACATAAATATATATATATATATGTCTGTAATATATTATATATATTATTTTTATATATTATATGCACGGTACTTATTAGAAAACGCTCAATATCAGAGATAGAGCTAACACATTTGGTTGGTTTGATGTGAGTTTGTGACACTAGGTTTCACGCTTATCACAAAAGCGCGAAACCCAGGCTCACAAACTCACATCAATCAACAAATATATATATATATATATATATATATATATATTTATATATACATTTTAGATATATGATTGCATATGTATGTGTATATTTACCACTAATATTATCTATCTATCTATCTATCTATCTATCTATCTATATATATATATATATATTTATATCCAAGTATATAATTGGTAAATATAGAATGAATTCCAATAACCAACAATTACTATTCTTAAAAGAGTGCTCAATACAAAGTAGAGCAGATATAATTATTATTTATAAAAAAATTATAACATAAGTATGTTATAAAATCACTACAAAAATAGCCATTTTGTTTCAACACACTCGGTGTCTTATCAAGTGATGATGTTGAAGATAAAATAAATGGTTTTTCCGGAAAAACCATTTATTTTATCTTCAACATAGTGATTTTGATTCCAAAAAATTTCGCTTGAAGATGGAACAGAGTTTATTTTAACTCAATTTAATTTAGATAATTATATTGAAGTTTTCGGCTCTTGTTTTGAAACATGGTACTTCTTATGTCGTGATTTGGAATCATATTTTTAAATAAATAATTATATTTATGCTCTACTTTTGTATCCAACACTATTTTTAAAAATAATAACTAAAAACTAAGGGACTTTGGATTATTTACCTAACCAGTTCCTTCCTATTTTCTATATATTTTCACATATATATATATATATATATATATATATATATATATATATATATATATATATATATATGCAGTTCCCATATGATCACTGAAGTTAAGCAACATCAAGCCTGGACAGTACCTAGATGGGAGATGAGTTGGGAATACCAGGTGTTGCAAAATTGGATGTGCGGTTTGTGTGATGGCTTGGAATCGTTAATTGGAAAACTGAGTTCCTAGTTGGGTTTGTTATATTCACATATGTTCAAATACCCTTGGAAAAAATATGATTCCACCTCTACTCCCCAGCTATGGTTTAATTAGTAAGGCTTGTATCATTAAATCATTATCTCCCTATAAAAATTCTTACAGTTTAAAAATATTTTCTGGTCCTGGTTTCAAATAACCTGCAAAGGATTGATAAGCTGTAGAAAATGAATCAATATATATAACAAAGTACTTAATAATGATAACAATAACAGAATGCTTAATAATAATAACAGTTAATTAGCAGATGTAGACATAACATAAAATACCTATTGTGTCACTTACCACCAGACTAGTGTATTGATTTATTGATGTAATTATTTTCACACTAAACCCAACCCTACAATACAATATTTAGTATTTTTGCCCACCCACAGGGTTTTTTTCTTTACCTATTTTCTTTTTCCCCTGTGTAGGTGTGGTTCCCCATGGCTTTTTTAATGGAATTATTTTAATTGAAATTTTTTTTTCATTTTTATTCTCTGTGATGCTTTAGGGTATTTCACAAGTTATTTAAAGCTCACTCCTCCCTTTTTGCATTTCTATTCGCGTCATCTGAAGGTCATGTGAGCATGAAACTCGGGTTATAACTAAAGCCATCCTTTCATAGGATTTAAGTAGTTAAGTGTTTTTTGCTCAGTCTAGGTAATCTAGGCTTCAAGCACTTTACTGAGTAGGTAAGTTTGCCTTTAGGCCTTTTTTTCTCTTTCTTATTTCAGTATTGTTGATTTATTTGAAATCTGGATAAGAGTTTTGTGTTTTGGCAAGTTGTCTGTTGGTTCCACCAATGGTTTTTATTCTTCTTTAATATATATATATATATATATATATATATATATATAAAAGAACATAGAAGTCAACACTTAGAGGTGACAGTCTGTTTCTTGCTAGATGCAATTGTCAGGCCACGAGTGCTGTTATTTTTCTCAGCTATTTTAATATTTAATTTAAATAGCCAAGAAAAATAACAGCACTCGTGGCCTGATGATTGCATCTAGCATAAAACAGACTGTTGCCATTAAGTGTTGACTTCTATGTTCACTTTTATATTTACACACACTCTATCTCTGATATTGAGCACTTTATCCCATAAATATAGCACATATTAAGACTATATTTCTTCATATATATGAAGAAATATAGTTTACATATTAAGACTATATTTCTTCATATATATGAAGAAATATAGTTTTAAGGTGTACTATATTTATGGGCTAAAGTGCTCACTATCCAAGATAGAGCATAAGTAAATATGTGAACACTGAAGTCAATACTCAGAGGCGACAGGCTATTTCATACTAGATGCAATCGTCAGGTGACTTGATGATTGCATCTATCATGAAGCAGCCTGTTGCCTCTGACTGTTGACTTCAATGTTCACTATATATATATATATATATATATATATATATATATATATATATATATATATTATATAATATTAGAGTGTATTCATTCACTTGTGTCCAGGGTGTATATTTCTCTTTGTATTTGTAAATTTGGAGTGTCGACATTTAATTGTTTGTCAGAGTTAATTTTTTGCAAAGTTATGACAAAAAACTTAACAATATAAAATAGTCAGTTTCATATAATAAAGTACTAAGCATCTTCTTACACTTACTGCCTATACAAGCCTTATTTTACTTATATATAATTGCTGATTGGTTGGCTCACTAATCACTGTTGCAAATGACCACTCAGACACGTGTTTCCTCAACACATTTATTTATTTATGTATTATTTGTTTTTCTCTTAAACTGATATATTGTAGTTGAATTTTTTTAATCATTTTACCCAACCAAGGTCACTAAGATACAATGGGTTACTGAGTATTAGAGAGTATGAGAAAAAGTTACTATTAAGGAGAGAGGACAATAAATGAACAAGAATTAAGAAGACTGACAATGATGATTGATATTGTATTTAAATGTTTGAAGATCAAAATTGACTAGGAAGCAAGGAGCAAGAAGAGATTACCACAAGCGAGAAGTGTGAGAAAAGAAACAGTTAGTATAGAATATCTGGTTAGATCTAGCAATTTCAACTGTAAGATGATGAGACCTAGCTGTTAATCTAGTACAGTGCTTAAATTCATAAAGTCAAGGTAACAAAGAGGAAAGCTCATCAGAACAATTACCATGAAAATATTTATAGAAAAGTTAGAGGGAAGCTACATTAGACTGGTGGGAAATTGACTGAAGCTGAGATGCCAGATCAGGCCAATGTTTCAGTAAACTAGTTTGGAAAATTTTCAACTGAAAAGAGTTAGCAGTAATTAATACTTTATTATCTGTAACTATTGCAAGATTTGTTCAAACAGTTAAACTACTTTGCTTTATTGATGTAGTTACCATATTTCAGTTGATCCATTTGGGAACCACTGGTCTAGGGGCTATCATTATCTTCCCCACATATCCCCATAAACTGTGCCTCTTACTCTGTAACCTTCTATTTTGAGTGGCTCTTGGTCCTTGTACAAGATGAACATCATTGTAAAAAAAATTTCTTAATTTTTGCCAGGAGACTTCAAGTGGAACCCATTGCTAAAAATACTGAAAAAAGTGGTTGGTTCTCAGTACTGGCTCCTCTGGCTATCACAAGAGACATATCAGGCCAAAAATAGAATACTGCTGCCATATATGGGCTGGAACTGTGCAGTCTTCACTTGTTTCTCTTGATAGTGTTTTTAACCATCTACACAGCCTTGTGGGTGACAAATTATTTTCCACTGTGCAACCTCTTTTCCACAGATGAAATGGCACAAGCCTCTCACTGCTTTATAGCTATTTCCATGGAAAGTGTTCAGATGAACAACATTCTTTAGTTTCAACAGTTCTAACCTTCATGGCTAAGATCTGCTATGCCATGCACATTATAGCAAACCAGCATCATTCCCTTTGTATTCCAATGGTGAGATGAATGTTTCACTCAAGCAGTTTCTTCCTATGAATTGTGGAACTAACTCCAAAGATGTTGCCTCCAAAACCACTTCAATCAGGGCCAGGTTTACTTATAGGTTTAGCAGACTGAAGCCTAGGGCCTCAAAATCTAGGGAGCCTCCAGCCAAGGTGTATAATATTTTGACACTGTCATAGGCCTTTCTTAAACATGCGTTATGCATTGTAGACTGTAAATAACCCTTCAGTAATTTTAAACACCCATCACCATGCTTGGCTTAAAGTCAAATTGTTTAATTTAACCCTCTTCCATTTTCGTGAGAATGGAGACTTAAAGAGGCTTCATAAATAGAATAGCTTAGGGCCTCTCTTCATCTAAATCTGGCCTTGACTACAATCTTGGCTTGAGTCATGTGTTATCTTCCCCACATATACCCATAAACTGTGTCTCTTACTATGTAATCCTCTATCTGGATTGGCTCCAGGGTCTTGTACAGGATGAACATCATTGTGAAAAAATCTTTACCAGGAGCTGTAGAATTAGTTCAGTTGTTGAACAAAGATTGGAAGTAGTATTTTTTGTCCATCACTTGAATGGTTTTTTATTAACTTCACTGCTCATATAGGAATCTCTCACAGTTCATGTGTTTATGAATAATGAGCATACAAAACGTTTGTCTAGTGAGGATGTAAGAAAATGAAATATATTGAGATTTCAGTACATTTGGGGCCAACAGGATGCGAAAGAAGGATATTAGTTCTTCTTAATTTGCCATTTGTTACAATGTGTCAAAATTGGTATTAGTTAAATATACCAAGGAAATATCTGTGTGCTATTAAGCCCATATACAACACCAGTCAATCAACAATTTAATAACTTTATCCCTATTATGAGCCAGCCAGAACAAGGAAAATATTGACTAATCAATGAGTGAATGATATATTTAGAAAATATGACAAATAGAAGCCACAAACAGTACAATTAAATGGATTTGTTCACTTAAATACATGCAGAGAGCTGTACTCATATACACAAGATTTGATCAAAAAGTATTGGGACTGGTGCTATAAAAAGAAATCTGCCACACATACCAATTCCGCATTTAACCTCCTTCAAAGTAGAAGGCGACTTCTGATGCCATATCATTTCCATTGATAGACGCATTACTGGAACTGCATTTTTTGAGATAGTGTGCAGTTACCTCATCACATACTTTTGGATTTCATCAGTATCTTCAAATCTTGTTCCTTCCAAGTGTGATATGATTGTTGAAGAGGCAAAAGCTGCAAGGGGCAAGATCTGTCAGATATGGTGCTTGTTGGAATTGAGGAATGATATCTTTAGCCAAAACTGCTTTACAAGCCATGCTCACTGATGGAACATCCTGTTGTGTGGTGAGTCAACTGGGTATCGAACTCATACTCTTTGGGTCTTGTCACCCGGTTAAGGCAGTGGAGAACTTGGAGAGGGGAATTAACAGGAGATAACTGATAACTGACATCCATTAAACATGGCACATGGAACTAGAACAGTTTACCCCAGTGAGTGAAATAAAGGGTTCAGTTTGACATTCCAACGATCTGAAGAAGGCCGGAGCATACATTGGCCAAAACATTGTAATAAATATGGCGACAAAGATGAGGACAATAGTCCGAATAATGTAAATAGTGAACCCATGTGTTATATTTCATTCCCTCTCTTTCTCTTGCTCTCTTTATCGATATGTATGTGTCTGTGTGTATGTGTGTGTGTGTATGTCTTTGTCTCTGTTTATAAGGAGTGCAAATATTTCCTTAATGAAGCAAAGTTACTCTTTGCTGATAGAATGAAACAATGTATAGCATCATGCAATTTTGATTCTAGAGATTATTGGCAGCACTTCAAGAGTGTGCTGAACAACAGCAAATCCCCAATCCGTCCTCTATTCAATCAATACAAAGTCTTGATCTCTGCAGCAGATAAGGTTCAATGCTTTGCTTGGAAATTCTCTTCCAACTCAACATTCATTTGGAAC